CTCCTCCTCCTCCTCCTCATCCTGCTCCTTCTCCTCCTCCTCATCATTATCCCCCTCCTCCTCCTCCTCCCTCCTCCTCCTCCTCCTCCCTCCTCCTCCCTCCTCCCTCCTCCCTCCTCCTCCTCCTCCTCCTCCTCCTCCTCCTCCTCCTCCTCCTCCTCCTCCTCCTCCTCCTCCTCCTCCTCCTCCTCCTCCTCCCCCCACTCCTCCTGGCCGGACCTTCAGCGCTCCGTGCTCCAAAGGCCTCTCGAGAGGCACGGTCCAGCGGGCGAGCGGCCCGGCACATCATAGGGCTCGTTGCGACACTTCCGGCTCGATTCGGTTCTATGTCGACCGATTCCGAGGCCGATTCAACTCGGACTCGAACTTCGATTAGGATTTCGATTTCTCCATGGAGGCCTTGCTGGCCTGCCGATTCCCGCTGTCTCGGCTTCCCCCGATGTGGCAGCCGATTTCTACCGATTCCAGTAATTTCGATTGCCGATTCGATTTCTTGATTCGATGTGTGGCTATCCTGTCATCGCCGGCGCGGGCGGCCCAGCACATCTTGGGTCGTGGAGCTCTTTGCTCGCGCGTGGGGGCGCAAGGGCGCCCGTCGAGAGGGCCTCGCCTTTGAGGACCGAGGGAGTTGCCATCTCCCCTAAGCATCGCTCGGACGTGTGCATTTTTTTCTCGGTGAGGACCCTGGAGGAGCATCCTGGACCATCGAGCAAAACAAAACACGCACGAAACCGGAGGATGTCTGGCTCCTCCTCGGTAGAAGGCGGCGGAAAAGGCGGCGGAAGCCGGCGGGAGTAGAACGAGGGCCTGCTCCGCGGGCGGAAGGCGGCGGGAGGGGCGGGCGGAAGGCGGTAGAAATAAAACATCCTCCCCCCACCAGGGGGGAGGATTTGTTCCTCCTCCTCCTCCTCCTCCTCCTGCACCTCCTCCTCCTCCTCCTCCTCCTCCTCCACCTCCTCCTCCTCCCTGGCGGGTAAAGGTTTCTGTTGGTTCAGGGTTCCCGGAACTCGCCAGGTGTTCCAAGGCAGCCCAGCAGCAGAGGGGGATGGGCGGATGGGAAGTGCGGTAGGAAGCGGTCGGAGAACCAGCCGCGTCCCGCTGATTCGCGGATCATTCTGGGGCCAGTCCCCCTTTGTGGCCTCCCCCCCCGAGGGTGCAGCCTATGGCGCCTTTGCCGATTCTGGGCTTCCAGCTCTTGCTGATCTCCCTCTGCTCCAGCGCGGCTGTGGGCGTCAAGAGCTTCACCGTCTGGTCCGATCCGATATTCCTTCATCGGGGCGAGGTGCACAATTCGTGGGTGTCGCCCAAGGGGCTCCCCGCCGAGATAACCAGGAAGTTCGCGAACCGGACGATGAACCTGAGGATGATGCAGCTGGACATCGTGCGCGTGGACAATCGCACGGGCGAGGAGACCGTGCTCCCATTGTACGAGGCGTACAACCACCACCACGCCTTGCTGATCGGTCCCTCGGAGTCTCTCTGGCAAGTATACAACTACTCGAAGATGAGCCCGGGACTCGGACCCCACAGCTCAAGTGGACACAGCGGGCATGGCGGCTGCATGATGCGCGGGCCGGCGGTGAGGGATTTGCTGGGCGAGGTGAGCCGACATGTTGCCAAGCCCCTCAGCAGGCTCGCTGTGTTCGGCGGCGCCAGCGGCGCCGAGTTCCGTGGCACCTCCACAGCGATCCCGGCTCCCTACGCTTACCGAGTCCAGTATCCTGTTGAGAGCTTCATGGTGCTTATGCACTTCATCAACGTCCGTGGATTCTCTCCGAAAGCCAAGCTGTGGGAGTGTCCGTGCACGAAGGCCCGGAACATTAACCTCACCAACAACACCATCGATGGCAGGTTGCTTTTGCCATTTCGGTGCTCCGAGCAGCTTTTGCGCGAGCGCAACACCGCATGCAGCCTCGCAACTTACCAGGGCGGCTACCGTTGCTGCGACAACGGCGTGTACCTGACAGAGGAGCCTCCACCACCAGCGCCCCCAGATCAGATACAGGCAAAGTTCACGTTCGAGTACCTCGAGGACGATGACGTGGCGCCAGAGAGCGTGCGCCCCCTGACATCACCGGGCTGCTGCGACGCCACCGCTGACCTGGAGGCGCGACACTTTGGCAACGTCGAGTACGACGTGGCCCAGTGCCAGCCTGGCGTGGCTCCAGAGCTGTGCGTCCACGAGGCCTCGTCGGTGCAGCACTTCGACATGCCCACGAACGAGAGCGGCCACGACGAGCCCGTCGACCCAGACGAGGAGTTCGAGCTCATCCAGGCGTGGGGGCACCAGCACGTGGGCGCGCTCGGCATGGAGCTCTACCGCGACGCCAGCAGCGAGCTCCTCTGCAGGACCTGTACGGTTTCGGGCCGCGCATGGGCAGCGAGGAGGAGGAGGACGAGGAGGAGGAGGAGGAGGAGGAGGGAGGAGGAGGAGGAGGAAGAGGAGGAGGAGGAGGGAGGAGGAGGGAGGAGGAGGAGGAGGAGGAGGAGGAGGAGGAGGAGGAGGAGGAGGAGGAGGAGGAGGAGGAGGAGGGAGGAGGAGGAGGAGGAGCCCCACAACAGGCCCTCGAGAAGTCCGCGGCGGTCTCCGCACCCTATAGCGCCGCCTGCGGCGACGCCCTCTGGGGCGCTCCGCGCCCCGGAGTTGAGGTGCTGAGGCCGGCCCGGACGCCTCGTGGGGCTCGTTGCGGCCAGCATGGACTGGCTGCCTTGGGGGGGAGCCGCCTGCGTGCAGCCCGACGCCTTCCCCATGCAGGACCACTCCCGTGTACGGCACAGGCTCGGCCCCGGGCAACGAGGCGGGCTTCCTGGTGGGCATCCCGCCGTGCGTCTGGGGCCCCCCGCCGCTGGCAGCGCCGCCGCGGCTCCCCGAGCGAGCAAGCAGCGGCAGTCACGTGCAGATTCTCGGAGCCCCGCGCGGCCCCTGGGGGCAAGGCACCCGGCTCCAGGACCCGCTCCCCTCGGGACCCGCTCCTCCCCTGTCGGCCCCCCCCTCGCCAGCCTCGAACGTACCCCGATCCCTAAGATGGACACGCCAGAAGGAGATGACAGTCTTAGGGCTCCACCCCCAGAAACTGCGGAAGTCCCTGAGATCGCCATCGTGATGAGGCGATGCCCAACACAGGGATAGGGATATGTTCCAGGCTGGTACCCCCCCCCGGCGCGCGGAGCGCGCCCGTGGCGCCGCGCGAGGGGGGCACCGGCACCCCCCCCACCTCTGGCGCGCTCCGCGCGCCAGGGAAAGGGGGGCCCAAAGAGAGCTCTCCGCGCGGAGCTCCGAGATTTCTGCTTCTACGGGAGGGGCGTTGGCATCACGTCTTGGGGGGTCCTCTGTGGAGGGTTTCTCCGAAGGACTTAGGCGACCCGACCTCCTCCTCCTCCTCCTCCTCCTCCCTCCTCCTCCTCCTCCTCCTCCTCCTTCTCTTCCTCCTCCTCCCCTCCTCCTCCTCCTCCTCCTCCTCCTCCTCCTCGGGTCGCCTACGGCCCCGGGGGAAACCGTACAGTCCTCTGATGGGGCCGGCGGTGATATCCATGGACAGGCCTGAACTGGTGGTCGCAAGGCCTTGGATTCCTTCTCGAAGGGTTCCTCGGCCAATCCTCTCGCCGTATGCCGCTGTTTATGCGCTCAGGCTCCGGCGCCAGGAGCGGCTGCGCACGGTAGCGCGCTACAATTCGACGCAGCGGCGCCACGGCGTCATGTCCCTCTGGCTCATGAAGTCCGCCCCCCTGCAGCGCCGCACCGCGAATGCAGGCGCCCTCGACTTCCTCGTGTGAGGGCGCGCCGGCAAGGAGGGGGAGGCGGATCGGATATATCCAGGACCAGGGGTGGACCTAAACAGTGTTTTGGCGATTTCGCGGGCCGTTGTCGTTTCGATTTCCGTTTTGCGTGAAAGGCGGATTGAAAACAGAACGAGGGAAAACGAAAACGAAAAGAAAACGAGAAACACCGTTTAGGGTCAGCCCTGTCCAGGACCCTAGGTCAGGTGAGTCGGTTAGTGATTGGACCCCGAAGCCCAGAGCGTTGCCAGCATCACCAGGCCAGGCCTGTCGTGGCCGGTTTCTTCAGGTGACGGCAGTTCCGCTTAGTGGGACTGGGCAAGGGGGCCGCCCCCCGGCACAAATTATTAAACCACGCTCCACGAAACCAACTCCCGCCGACGCCAGAGAAGAGGAGCATTCAGTCGGGCCGCTTCTTCTACAGGGGGAATGTTCAAACAAAAATTAAGAATAGCACGGGGATGATTGTGTAACAGGGTATTCTCAATTTGTCGTCCAAAATCCGCCTGTATGGGGGACATGCCCGACCTCAGAGGAGGATCGAAGAACAATGTCTTCCGGGAACATGAACTGTCGGAAGTCCGCGCGGATGTCGCGGACCAGCGCCAGGCCCCGCTGGCCGCGCCTCCGGCGCCGCCCCCGGCGCGCGGCGCGCTCCGCGCGCCAGGAAGAGGGGGCCTCAAACAAATATAGACAACCACCACCTCCCTCCCTCTCCCCAGGAACGAGGAGAGGAAGAGGAGGGCAGAGGAGAGAGGAGGCATGGCCGTGGTGGTGGTGTATATTCTTTGGGTCCCCAAGGAAGAGGGGGGGCCCGGCGCCGATCGTAGAAACCAGCCACGGGCGCTGAGACAGGGCCTTCCGGGCCCAGGAGGGGCTCTCGTCCCTCCCCCCGGGGCCGCTCCCGAGGCGCAGGCCGGGGAGCTTCTCCGTGGCGGTGGCCCCGGGGTGGCCAGAAGTCGACGAGCGCGTTCCACTGCTCGCAAAGTGACTGCTCGCAAAGGGCCTGGATCCCCCGCGGGGGATCTCCGATAGATTACATCAAAGCGGACATGTGCTTTCCTGACGTTTTGCGAGTAATTCGGCACTTTTCGAGTCGTGGAACGTGCTCAGCGAAGAAGAGCCCCTGCATGCTCCGTTTTCATTGCTCCATCTGTCGAAGAAGAATAGACCATGTAAACATAAACTTTTGGGCCCCCCAGCGGCGCCTCCGGCGCCGCCCCTGGCGCGCGGAGCGCGCCAGGGAGGGGGGGGCCCACACGCGAGTCGAAGAAGTCCGCGCGGAGCGTTCACGCGTCTTTGCTCTTCTTCCATTCTGGTGGCACGACGACCGTGCGTCGCTGCGGCCCGTTGTGCCCCTCGAGGGGAGGCGGCGGCGCAGGGGAGGGGGGGGAGGCTGGGCGAGCGGGGCGGCCCGCTTCCCGAGGGAGGGCCCCCCCCGCCTCTCGAGCCCCCCCCCCCCGCGGGCCCTCCAGGAGAGGAGCCCCCCGCGGGCCGTCTGGAAGAGGGGAGGAGCCTCTCGGAGGGGGGCGCCCCCGCGGGCCCTCCAGAGGGGCCTCTCGGGAGGAGCCTCTCGGATGGGGGGGGGGGGGGGGGGGGGGCGATTCCCTGCAGGGGGCCGTCCTGTGCCCTGCGCTCACGGGGGGGGGGGGCGGGCGCTGCGGGAAACGGGTCCTGCGCCTGCGGTGTTTTGCCACTTGCGGGCCCTCGGGGCCCTCCATGGGCCCCGGGACCGGTCGGAAAGCAGCTCCGGATCTTGAGAACTCGTCCTGAGGGAGGGCGCCAGGGTCCAGGACCCGTTTCCCTCGGGACCCGTGCCATTAAGTCGGGCCTGTCCCTCCACAGGGGGGATATTCAAGATTGTAAAATATAGTCTGGGGACAATTGTTTGACAGTTGTTTAGTAATTGCGGTGTATTCTATGAGTGTTTTAAATTTTGTCGTCCAAAATCCGCCTGTAGGGAGACAAGCCCGACCTAACCGTGCCCCCCATGCTAAGCCTTCCTCGGATGGCCACGCCATCGTCCTGCCCCCTCCGCTCGCAGCCAGATGCATCGTTCGTTCCCATTGCTTCCAGGCGGGAATCTCTGGGAGGGGCGCGCTGTCGGAGGGCGTCAACTACGTATACAAATGCACCGCCGATCCTGGCGAGGCTCATCTTGGGCCCAGGATCGGTGCACACGCCCTCCGGGCTTGGGCAGCATATGCTCTAGGCCTCCTAGATCGGTCGGAGTAGATGGGGTCCGAGGATCGCGCCGCATCGCCGATGCATCGGCGGTGCGGCTCTATGTGGAGCCCGATGTTCTCCACGCCGGCGTCGCCGATGCGCCGCCGACGTCGCCGATGCATCGCCACTGCATCGACGATGCATCGACGATGCGGCGCGATCCTCCGACCCCATCTACTCGGACCCCATCTGGGCGGCCTCTACATACATCGAGAAGGGGCCCAGGATCGGCCTGGCCAAGATCGGCGTAGGCGTACAGTGGGTGCCCTCTGGCCCTGGGGCCCTGCTGGTGCTGCCGGGTTGCCCTTTTTATGTTTCGCGCGGGGCCGGGATCGATAGGTCCATGGGATCTATAGGAGGCCAGCGGTCTTCGAACTCTCGGGGCCAGAAGGGAACGACGTGTTCTCAGGAATGAGGAGCTGGGTTCGCAGCGATCTTCGACAGCGGGTGCTGGCATGCGCCACGAGTGTTCTGGCTACACGGTCACCGTGTTATTGCGAAAACGCCGCAGAATGTCAACCGGCGGGCGTGACGCCCAGGTAGAGTGCGAGCGTTGTCCCCGCTAGCCTGGCATCTAGTGGCCTTGATAGCATGGGTTGGCCGCCGCGTGATATCTGTACCCCTCACTCTTGCGCCTCTTCCTGGTCACACCTCTCTCTCCTCCTTAATCTCATCCATGGATAGCTCCAGAACCCTCCATGGCCCCCCCCCCAGAACTCATTACGTAGGCCGTGGTTCCACATAGAACCTCCTCGTCCTCATCCTACCCATTCCCTCGGGGAGGTTAGGAGAAAGTGGGGGAGGGGGCGGAGACAGTGGCGCAAAAGTTCAAACATCTCAGTAAACCGCTGAGCGCAAGGGTGGAATGGCGGCTGCTAAGTTGAAGTCAGCGTGGACTCGGGCCTGTTTGACCCTCGTCACCACGCTGACGTCGTAGCTGAAGAGCAGCTTCGCGGCTCTGCTGACTGCGCGCGCGTTGTTGCATTGCGTCCATCAGCACGCACATAACTTGTAGTGGCCACCGTAAGTTTGGAAACTACTTGTGGCCAGCCCAGGCTCGCGACGTCGACCTGGCTAGACCGGAGTGGCGCGAAATCCAGGCCAGCCTGTCCCCCGAGTTTGCGGATTGGTGGGCTCTGCAGCCTGAATTGGGCGATTTGCTCGTTGAGGCTGAGCCACGCGAGACCATGAATCGGGCGGTTGTCGCTCCACGGCGCGTTCAGCAACAGTCCATCGCCAGACGTAGCGTGGGTGTCTCCGCCGTCGCTTGCCATCTACCTGTCAGCCGGCTGTCGGCAGGTCGAGAGGGCTCTATTGCCCCACGACGGTCGCTGAAGTCGAGCCATCGTTT